TGAACATAATTTTCAATCAAACCAGATCATGGTAAAATTTGAGATTTCATGATGCATAAAGAAATATAATTGAACCCAATCGTTGTGAGGTCAGTGATTTACACTCTGACACATACACACAGGCACACAAAGCAATGGCTAGCGTTCAGCCTGCTGGGACTGTGTGTGTGTGTGTGTGTGTGTGTGTGTGTGTGTGTGTGTGTGTGTGTTAATTGGCCAAATTGCTGGCACTGATAAGAATCTCTCTAAATTCTGCTGACGAAGGCTAGTGTTAGGCCAGCCATGCTGACAGAAGCTTCTCTTTTGGAGTTTGGTGAGCGGTGGGAGTCCATAAAGGCCCCAATAACTCACAGCAGCTCATAAAGCACACACACACACACAGCTGAAAATCCACTACAGGCCAGAGCAGCCTACAGAAACCTCAGAGGTCTGACTTTAAAGTGGGGAAACATGTAAGAAAAAGACACACAGCGCAGCAGAAGTCAGGCCAAATTCCTTCACATACACATAAGTGATCACATCCACACATACAGTCACCCAAAACCAGCTCATGTTCTCAATCATCCACATTCCATGTTCAAAGAGTCATGTCCCAATCCAGCTAATGGAAAAACACAAAAGACTCTGCTTCATAAACATGTTAGCCAGCAGCCACACCATTTTCATTCCTGCAGTTACGAGGGCATGCGTGTGCTTGCTTGGCATGGCTTAGTCTCCCTCTGAAACCCTCACATTAAAGTCTGGCCCATGCCCAGTTCCCAAACTACTTAAGACTGCCACAGAGGAGCGGCTAATGACAGGATGTGCTCATGCGAGGAAGACACTGGGCAGCCTCCAACATAAACTGCCCCACAGGCCGAAGGCCCTACAGCCTCATTACCAAAGAACATATTTTGCAGGACTGCAATCCTCTAATTCTCCAGTAGAAGCTACTCCTTAGGCTGGAGGCCTTAGCACCTCATACGCTTTCAGCAAAAACTACCCCGTGGTCTGTACGCCCCACAAGCCTTCAATGAGGCAAACAGAAGCTGCCCCATAGGTTAAAGGTCTTAGCACCTCATATCCTCCAGTAGAAACAGTCACACAAGCTGAGGGCTAGAGGTGTTTTCACATTTAAATGAACCAAACTCAGTTCTGTTAAAGTGCACCTGAAAAGGAGCCAGCTGCAAATGACCTTGGTGCTTTTCGTGTTCACAAATGTAAGTGACCTCGGGTCTCGCTTTTCTTTATGGTAATCTTTAGCACCACTTATTGTTCACATCACAACTCATTTAAAACTCACACCCAACTAGGAAACACCAAATTATACGCAGGGTTGTTCATCATTAAACAGGTTTGATAGGTTGAACCTCAAGAGGTGGTCTGAGTTTAGCTCATTTTGGCACCTTTTAGAGGGGTCTGAGTTTGTTTCACATGTTCATATATGCACACAAAAGGCCAACTGAAATGCTGAAACCCTCCAGTAAAAAAAAATGCCTTATTGGCTGAAGGCCTTAGCATATCATAAAGCCCTATTAGAAAATGTCCCATAAGCTAACGACGTAAAAGCCTCATACCGACCAACAGAAACTACCCAATGGGCTGAAGCACCTCATACCATCCAACAGAAGCTGCCCCACTGGATAAAGGCTGAGAGTCTCACAACCCTTCCACTAGGCAAACAGAAGCTGTATGACAAGCTCAGACAGACTAGGGCATGTCATACCCTCCAACAGAGGTGACATAAGACACAAAAACTACCCGTGAATTAAAGACCTAAAAGCATTGTACCTTCACGTAGAAACTCACAGAACAGAAACACAAACTGCACCACAGGCTGGGGGGCTTAGCATCTCATAAGGCACCAGAAGGAACTGCCACATCGGCTAAAAGCATCTGAAACCTCAAACTCTCCAATGGCAACTGAATCAAAGGCTGCAGGCAAAGGAATTAAACTGCCCCATATTTTGTAGTATTGAGAGCCTCACAGCTTTCATAACAACCTGCCTCATAAGCTGAAGAGCGTCACACTCCAACAGAAACTGACCCATAAACTGTACACCTCAGATTCACATTATGTCCAAACAGAAACTGCCCTTGAGAGGCTCATACCCATCAGGCAGAAACAACCCTGGAGGCTAAACACCTTAGCATCTCATAAACCTCCAGTACAAACAGCCCCATAGACTGAAGGCCTTAGCACCTCATAGGCCTCAAGCTAAATTTGCCCCATAGGCTGAAGGTCTGAGAGACTGCAATATTATCTGCCCCATAGGTTACAGGCCCCAGAGTCAGATACTCCTCCAACAGCATCCCTCATTACACCACTCCCTTCAACAAAAACGGCTTCATAGGCCATATCGTCAGGTATGGACCACAGGTGGAAGTCAAAACCTCCCAATGGGTTCAAAGTTTTAGCATCTCATACCACCAAAGCAGCTGTCCCATAGACTGCAGGACTTAAAGCTTTATAACATCAAGTAAAAACTGCCCCAAAGGCAAGGAAGTCTCATAAGGACATTCCTAACTCTGACTTGTACACCATGCTAAATTTGGAAACTAAGCTAATACAGACATGTACCATAAGCACACAGTGTATGCAGCCTAGAGCAGTCAGTGAGTCAGAAGTCTCAGACACACACATCTGGACCTTAGTCTAAACAGTTCCTAGAGCATTATGGTTTGAGAGTGATGGTTTTCTTGCTGTGTCACTTTAGGCAAGAAATGCATGACATTCCCGGTCAAAGGTTTTCTAAACCGTGATACTGTAAACACAAATCAAACCTGTAGATAAGTCAGCATAACTGTGGTGTTTTCATTTTTTGCCCTAAATTATTCCAGAGGTACCTTGGGGAGTCAGAGGAGAAGCAGACTTGGGCACATTTCTGGCATGCGTTACATAAGGGAGGCCTGTGGGTCTGAATGATGGGGTTTAATGCTGGATCTTATTCTGACAGCTAGATTGCACTGTATGCAAGACTCATCTTTTTTCCACTTCAGTTACACAACTATGAGGAGCTGAGGTGATTTGGGTAAATCTGACCTGGCACAGCAAAGGAATGCAAGGACGAAAAGCATACCTGATATTTAAAAATAAATAAATAAATAAAAATCACAGTGAATAACTGCATGCAACATGATACTGTAAATCTTAATCTGTAACACTGTAAAAAAAAGATGAAAGCAATGGAAATTATGTGAAATTTATGGAAAAAGTGAGAAAATTTATGAGAAAATCTCATAAAGTAAGTACTGGCAACATCATTTTGAAAGGTCAAAGAAAAATTTCAGGTGTCCAAAAGTGTGTAAAGCTTTGATTGCCCAAACAGATGAGAATAAGAAAACTGCTCAGACTTTCAACTGTGTGTCTTAGCATTAAAATAATCAAAGCACACCAGAAAACACTGGACCTAAAAAAATTGCAACAGGCTGTAATTCTGAAATGAACTTGGACCATGTCACTCACGTATAACTGTAGCAAGAGCTTGTTGGCAAGATGTTTAAAAACTGGTGAAAGTTTCCTAGTAATGAAACAATTTAACAAGAAAAGCACATATGACAATAGCGAAAGCTTCAACCAATGGAAAGAATGACTGAGATCATCATCCTTAGAGAAAATCAGGCTACATATTTCTATACTGCTGCCACTGATTGGCCTTAGTGGTGCCGCAATTAAACCAGACTTAACAGAACCTCCAAATGCGCTGAAATGCGCCAGAGATAATTCTTACTGCAGTTGAATCCAAGGTGTCTATTATGTTATTATGGTCATATCCTACCTCATCTAACCTATTCTGTTGTATAACACCCTGTACATTCAGTTTTGCACGCTATAGATAATAGGGCTGCACAATATATCGTCTGTTAATCGTTGCTGAGCTATTGCAATACTGGTCACCAAAGCCACTCTGAGTCACTAAATGTTTTAATTATGTTTCAAGTGCAGAAAAATATTGAAAAACAGTGCCTTGCAAAAGTGTTCAATACCCCATAAAGTCTATTAATAAAGATCAAAGTCAAAATGTGTTATTTGTCAGCAGATTATAAAAAACAAAAAAAATAAAAACTGAAAATTGCTGCTTGCATAAATATTCAGCTCCTTCACACCAGTACTTGATAGAACTACATTTTCCAACAATAACAGTTCTTGAGCAGACAGAAAAGCATGCCCCCAACAGGGTGCCACCAGCCCATTCTTCACTGTTGGGATGGTGTTTAAGAAATAGGCAGTGTTAGGTTTGCGCCACACATAGAATTTTGAATTTCTGCCAAAAAGCTCCATTTTCTCTATTTTCTCATCTGACCACAAAACCTTCTCTCACATTTTAGCTGGGTTTGATGTGTTATTTCTTCAGTAATGGCTTCTCTTCAGCCACCCTCTCATACAGGCCAGTTGTGTGCAGAGCTCTTGATATTGTTGATGGGTGCACTTTCACTCCAGTATCAGCCACTGAAGTCAGTAGTTCCTTAAGAGTGATTGGTGGCCTCTCTGTGGCTTCTCTTACAAGTCCTCTTTTTGCTCTGACACTGAGTTTTGAGGGATGGCCTTGTCTAAGCAGTGTCTAGTATGATTCAGCTTCCATTTCCAACACGTGATCCAATAGTGCTCACTGGGATATCCAAACACTTGTTTTTTGTGGCCTTTTCCTATGGTGTGCATGTCTGTAACTTTATCTCCAATTTCCTTAGAATGCTCTTGGTTGGGAGTCTTATCCAGAAAAGGTGAACTCTTGTAATGATTCACAGCTAGAGGCCAGTCGTAAGTGAGCTGATTTCTCATTAGAGCTCTTTCATCTGTGTAAACTTAAAGCTTTTAAAGTTTTCTTACATAAAACCAATATCACTTTAAAATAATTCATTTTGAGGGTCAGTTAAAATAAAATATGACACTAACACTTATTTGTCTTTATTTATTTAATACTTCTATTCTTGTATTGTCCATTTACTCAAGCACCAGTTCCAGACAAGTTTAAGTGCACACAAGTGTAACTGGCCAATAAAGTGATTCAGATTGACCTTACCTCGTTTGATGGTATGCTAACAACTCCAGTTGACCTCCGCTTTTCCCGCAGCTTCCTCTTCTCTATTTGACCTTTGCCCTTTCTGGCACTAGGTCCGGTGCTTTTCTTCTCCTTGCCTTTTCCGTGTGGGGGGCTTTCCTTATCGCTGTCCTGGCAGGCAGTGGCAGCAGTAGGGCCGGTGTCAGGAGCTTTTTTCACAGGCGTATCGGCTGGCCTTGAGCCGGGGTCATCTTCAGGCCTTCTTAAAGCAGAAGAAGAAGAAGACCGAGCCACTGGATAAGAAACGCAATTCACAGCCGCAGAGTTGCCGTTGTTACTCGGTTCAGGTGCTTTGGTGCCAGGAGGAGGGCACTGGCCGGTTGCCGCGGCGATATCCCCCAGCATCTTGGCCCTCATCTTCTCCCTCTTGGCCTTCCACTCCTCCAAGAAGTCCGTGGCTGCGTTGGCTCTGAAACCTCCAGAGGCCATGGTCATCCCTTTTTCGGACGTGGTGGAAGCGATCGTTTTGTTTTTTCCTGCTCAGGAAGTTTCGTTTTTGCTTTGTTTTTGTCTCGGAGTCGCACAAAAACGAAGCAGGACCGACTTTGCTTCCCTCTCTGGATCAGGAATGCCACATTCCTCCAAAGGAGCAGAAAAAAAGGAAAGCTGGAGAGACACACACACAGCAGTCTGCTGTCACTGAACACACACAAAATACACATACCTTATATATACAGTATAGGGCTGAACAGCTCATTATGTTTATATCAAAACTGCAGTTTGAAAAAGTGCAATTCTCAAATCAGAAGAGCTACAATGATAATTATATCTATCTCTATCTATTCAACATCATAAGTTTTAGGTGAGGATATTTCACCTAAAACACACCAGAGCTCGTGAACATGCAGTGTGGTACACTGTGTGCTGGTCTTCCTAAGAAAATAAAGGCTTGGAGCTTAATTTACAAAAAATAATCACATTTAAGCAACCTGGGGGGTGTTTCACAAAGCAGGATTTCTGAGTTAGCCAGATCACTTAAAGGGAAACTCAACCAGTTTTTAAAATTTTTGCATAATTAAATGGTTATTGTGTCAACAAAATCGTTCAGAGTGGTTTGGTGTATAATGCTGAGTTCTAGAGAAATTTACCAAGTCAGAATTGTTCACAGTGATGAAACCAGACATCTGCCTCAAGAAAGTGCAGTCACATAAAGTTATTACATGAAATGGTTAAGAATACACTGCCTGATGTCTGAGGCATAGATTCACAGTAGCTTTGCAATAACGTTTTTGGTCTAAAATGTATTTTAATCAATATATTTTAATCAATTCATGGTAGAAGAATACAAGAATGGTGTTGTGAGGCAAAAAGTCCCCAAAGAAAACTTTTTCAGATTTATCAGAAGACTCGTGTAGGTTCACTGGTGGCACTGGATAGTAAATAAAATGCCGATATTTGTATTGTAGACATTACGAACCCTGGTTCCTATCACCACCACTGTAAAGACATCTGAGGCAGTAAGCTTCTCTATAAATGAAAATTTTCACATCAAAACACTCTGAATGACTGTTTACATCTCAACCACTCAATTCTGCAGACATTTTGAAAAACTGGTTGATTTTCCCTTTAAGCCCACAGTTCTGGCCTTGGATTGTCAAACAGGAATGTCCCTCAGCTATTGGACAGGCTTGACGTTAGGCTTAGGTTTAGGCTAAACTGAGAAATCTAGCTTTGTGAAATACCCCCTGGTGGCACTAAAACACAAACACACAGCAGACCTCTGGAACTAAACACACTGGAAATAATCACAGACACACACAGCAAACACACACTGCAGTCACTCAACACCCACAACAAACACACACACAACAACCTGGTGGCACTAAACACACACACACACACACACACACACACACACACACACACACACACCCCACACACACACACACACACAGGAGTCTATTCACTCTGAAAAAACACAAAACTTACCTGCTGTCCCAAAATCCTCACACAGCACACAGTAACCTGTCGGTTGGCACTAAACTCTTGCAAAACACTCGCACATTCTTGCTGTCACAAACTACCTGTTTTCAGCAGCGACCTGTTGGACCTGTTGATACTAAACTTGTATAAAACACACGCACAGCCTGCTGCTGACACTAAACACACAAAACCACACTAAAAAGCAACAGCACACTTCTCTCGCTGCCTCGGTACCCTGGTTTGCCTGGTTTGGGGCACAGTTAACCTCCTTCCACAGCCCCCAGTCGTCTTACAGACCCAGGAGAAGAGTCTGCAATGCTTCAGTCCACAAAACGCGCCCAAAACTGAAGCCAAAGCTGAAAGAAAACGCGGTAAAAACTCACCTGCTCTCCGCAGCCCGTTCAGCTGGAGTCCCTCTCTCACAACTCGGCCAGTCACACGCTAAACCGGTCGGATCTCTCACTTTTTTCCTCTCTCTCTCTCTCTCTCTCTCTATCTCTCTCTCTCTCTCTCTATCTCTCTCTCTCTCTCTCTCTCCCTCTCGCTCTCGTTCCCGAGCACTTTACGGAAACGCACGAATGAGGACGAAGAACAGACCGGAGTTTTTTCCCCACCCGTTTTTCGACAGATCCCGCCCACCTCCGCTGCTGCCTCCAAGTCCTCCTCGGGAGGTCCTACTTACGACTTCGGAGGTCGTGAGTACGACTTGATTTGTGTTCAAGTGGTTTTGGTTGGACATAAGATTGATATCATGTTTAATAGATATGATGTTTTGGGTTTTTTTGTTTTTCTGTCATTAAATAGAGTCTGTATTTTGCATTACTGCCACAAAGTGCAGAGCAGAGGACGCTTATAAGGAGAGTGATGTATTATGCAGTTAGATGTGTCACATAGCTAATATGCTTATACCTGTATTTCCATGTGTGGATGGTTTTAGTCTGCAGTGTTAAGGGTTGTAGCTGATGAATAACTGAAATACAGCCAGTTAATCAGCGGCTATCGCTGCTTTTTTGTTGACACGCCCCCAACTCGGAAACGGGGCTCACTGGAAAATCCGAGTTTCCCAAAACTAAACACGTTGTGGTGACGTTCATGTGCATTCATAACGAGGCAACATAACTCCGTCTAAATGGATTTAATTTTGTATTTATTTTTCATTCCGAATGCGTGAAGCTCACTTTTGATCAGCAAAAAACTGTTTATGTTCAGTGCTAACACTGTTACACTAGATGGCGCTCTGATTTACCTGTTCGGGTTCTGTGGCCCTTACAGGACCACGCCCCTAACAGCACAGAAATATCCCCGAGCCACAGCGAGGCCACCCAGAGCCGGTTTATGAGGAGTCCTCCCTGTTGCCCCCATTATATCAAAAACATGACTGCAAAACGCCAGAGGGCGCCCACGAGCGCAAGTTCTCTGAGGCCACCTGTTCTACAACCAAACACACGACCACGTCCCCTGTCGAGAAAGTGACAACGCCCACCAACTCAAACAAAGTCAGTTGAAAGCCTTTGAGGATGATCTGCTTACTTTTTTGAAACAATAAAGTGTTTAAAATGAAGTTCTATAGATATTCCAGCGTAATAATGCAAATATTAAAAACATTCAGTTCTACATGGTAGTGACCAAAACTCACTGATGCAAACTGAAATGTTCACACTTTTGGATTCCAATTTTTAAGTGGCAGAGTTTGTGAAAACACAGGAATATATGAATATTATAGAATAATGCATGAAAATACTCAGCAGCTAGCTAAATTTGTGGCTTAGAGTGACCAAAACTTTCAGAAAACTATTAGAGAAGTTAGCTAGCAATGCTAGCTGTTTGTTAATGCTAACAGTAACCAAACCAGAGCCGGTTTATGAGGAGCCTGGCCACTACCTATTCTCCCCGTTATATCAAAAACAGGACTGCTAAACAGCAGAGGGCGCCCGCGAGTGAGTCCTCAATGAATGGGAGTAAATGGCGCTCAACGGCTAAAAACGAAAAGTTTAAATAGTTTCTAATCACTCGCCCAGAACTTTCCTTTAATTTTAGAAAGTAGAAGTATGTATTTCACTAAAAAACAAAGAAATCTTACCTATATATTCCCTTTTTTCTACAGCAAACGGGTTTTGGGCAGCAGGAGGCGGGCATTACTCCTAGAGCGTGATGATTGATTGGCGAGCGGAGCAGCTCATTGGCTGTTCGCGCTCACTGACGTCATGAACATACATGGGGTGCAGTTTTAAACTCCTATAGCTCGAGTTTAAAAGCTCTTAAAAATATAACAGCGGTGTTAAAATGTTTTATGCTGTTCCGTGTTCAGGAAATTAATGTATTCTTTTACATTAAAAATGTTTAAGCTTTTATAAACTATGATTTTGCTCAAATGCTCCATATCAACCCATTCATTTTGGACTCACTCGGGAGCGCCCTCTAGCGTCTGAAAAACCCAAAAGACATTGCAGAGTGGGAATTCACCTCTCTACAAGTTCTCTGACCAAACACCCACCAGGACAAGCAGTTAGCCTTGAGTAACAAAATTGAATGAAAGCTTATACTTTACCTTAAAACTTATTGACAATATTATGAGAATATTTTATCAATGTAGCCACAAAAACTTTAACTTATCCTCTAACGTTATGTTGTCAGAACTGAAGCTAATTTGTAGGGTGTGAGCTAAATGCTCCGTTGACAAGAATGTTTTCTTTGTTTCTTTGACAGTGAAATAACTTTTCCTGTGTCTTTAATCCCATCCATATTCAGAGCTTTTCCTGTGCTGGTTTTGAAGAGCTAGCATAGGGTTTTTTTTACTGTATTTCATACATTAATATTGTGTTTGTTTTGCTCTGTCTTGTCTCTTCCCTTTGGCACTAGAGATTACAGTATGGGGATTTTTAATGACATCTGTTTTAGTGGATGGCTGGTTGTTTAAGGTGTTTTGCACTGTTATTACTTTGAATGTTCTCTTCGTTGCACCTTGGGACATTTGATAAGCTTCTTGTGTTATTCTATGCACTTGGGTTTATGCATAATAGCAACAAAATTGAACTGAATTGGGTAATCATAGCAAGCTGTCTTTGATGACTGCAAGCTCATTTCATGCTAAGATAATTAGTGGTGCTGCTGTGCTGCTACCTGTGTGTGTGTGTGTTGTCTTAGCTTTAGGCATTTCAGGGCATAGCATTAACCTGCTGGAAACTGCTGTTTCCACCATCACACAACTTCCAAACACGGTCAAACTGGTTCTCTTAGGGTTTGGCCTGCTGAGAAATGCCTGAAAGCCCAGAGGCAAACGTGACACGTCAATATGGCCGTTTTGTTCATTGTGTTGCTTTCCCAGACGCAGATTAAGCTTCTTTTACAGCAGTCAGACTGAGTGGACCTTAAGATTAAAGCAGGAATTCTTTAAAATGCACAAAACTATGGACAAAAACCAAGCTTTGAAATGGTCTCTATACTCCTAAAGCTGCCAAAAAACGGTTGTTTGGAGTGATGTCACGGGAGAACCACTGTTGCTTCGCCAAAGACCCTTCCACTGGATGGTTCTTTAAAGGACCACTTTTGTAAATTGGCACTGTCAAGCCAGACCTTGCCTTTCTAACATGTCAATTTAGCAGGAAAAGGAACAACATTCTTAAAAATGATTTTTCAAATTTTTTTCATATTTCGATGTTTGAGATGTAAATAAAGTAATTCAGAGCGGTTTGGTGTGAAATGGTTCATTGAAGAGAAACTTACTGACTCAGGTTTCTTTACAGTGGTGCTAATATGAACAAGGGGTCACCATGTCTACAACACAAATATAGCCATTTTAATTACTTTCCAAAACCAGTGAATCTACATGTGTCATGTGATAAATCTGAAAAAGTGAATACCATGACTAGATTAAACACATACAGTTTAGGACATAATCTTCTCAGTACTATTGTAAAATAATGTCTCGGAAATCGAATAATGTATTCATTACCATTTCATGTAACAAGATGTTTCCGTGAGATGGCATTTAGAAGCATTAAACCAGGGGTGCACAGCTGTGGTCCTGGAGGGCCGCTGTCCAGCACAGTTTGGTAATTCCCCTACTCAAACACACTAACTAAACCTGGCAATTACAGATAAGCTGAATTACCAAATTACCAAGATGGACCAGAGCTGGACCAAAGATGTGCTCTCCTGAATTTACCTCTTCAGATGTCTGGTTCCTATCACCACCACTGTGAACAATTCTGACTCTCTAGAACAGAGCATTTCACATCAAACCACTCCAGTTGACTTTATGTACATCTTAATCATTTAATTCTGCAGAATTATGAAAAATCAGCAGAATTCCCTTTTAATTTTGAGCGTAGGTTAATGTAACAAGATTTTATAACAAGTCATTTTGGACCATTTCTATATGTCCATTTATCATGAAATGTTTACACAAGAGTAGCAGTTGTTTTCAGATAGGGTAAAAAGTAAAAAACAAGTAAACAACACAAGTTTTCTCCCAATAGGGGCTTTTAATAGAATCAAACATCGAGGCCAAGAGCAATTTAGGACGCTGCTGAAAAGAGACCATTAGAACGATTACGATAAAAACCTGATGGGTTTCCTTTCTAATGGGAATTGGCTTAATGATTACAGTAAAGACCACTAGTTTTCTATAGGACATCTTTAGATCCCATTAGACAACCATCACGTTCATCTGGAATCAGTCCCAGAACACCTGTTAAACCATCAGTATCCTTTACACTGTGATATCAATCCATCAGAAAAACACTAAATACATTAGTTACTGTTGGACACCACCAAGAATAAGCAGAAACTTTTAATGGTTTCTATGAATTTTTTTTCACCAGGGAAGCCTTTATTTTGATAGTGTGCTAGCCATGCTAATGTACTTTAGCCCATATTTATAGATACCAGTATGTTACACAGTGTCAGAAACCACATAATCAAATCTTTTTAAGATTATTTAACATCTCAGCTTAATTTAAGGCAAGTGCAAGATGATTCAGGCGTGCAGTTAGAACCATACTAACTTTTGCTAATAGCTTTCTATTACTTGTTAGCTACATTGGCCTTGTACACTGTAAAAAGTGTCTCGTCAGATCTACTTAAAAAAAAAATCTTCATGTGGTAACAAGTAAATTAAAAAATTGTATTCAACCTAAATAAATACTTTGAATGAATGATTATTTCATAGTTTTTTTTAAGTTGAATAAAACTAGTTCAATTGCTTGTAACCACATGAAGTCATTTTTTAAGTAGATCTGACGAGCCACTTTTTACAGTGTAGCTCCAGTACAAACTAAAGAAACTTCAGACACCAAAAAAGTCTTGTCAGATCAACTACATTTGGGAAAATGGTAAAACTTTCAGCATTCAGCATTCTCCTTTCCACAATGCAGTCAAAGATAAATGAGAGAGTAGCAAAGGTACAGTGTAAAGACCGTGCTCTATAAATAGCCTCTGATCTAAAGACTGAGGTCATGATACAGCATGTTTAGCATTTTTCTGCCCGATTTCGGGAAGCTCAAAGAAAAAGCCAAAGGGCTCTCCAGTGCCTCGGCT